TCGCGCCAGGTCACGCCAGGCCAGCCAGACCGATGCCCGGGGGGGGACCAACTTGATAAGTTGTTGCCTGGGGGCTTGCCTAATTGTCACGAGGTACCACGTGTCGCAACTTCACTGAAGGGCCAAATCTGCCCTCATCAGTGCCAATCCACGAAGGCCCAAACAATGCTACCATTGGTATCCAACCCGTCCAAACTCCAAACCATTTGATTGATCCTTGAAGGTTCCAATCATATGGGGCTGAGTTTGGAGACTCTGGATATGCTGCGAATATAAATGTGTAATGGTTTGTATACATATAACCCATACGTGGTATGGGTATGGGTTCATATGGGTCCCATATGTACTAGTGGGCCTCATGCATACAGAACATTGTCATACTCACTTGTGATTGGTTAGATAGCCTGTTATACATATCCGTGTTAGCAGCAGATGGCAACGAGAGTTTAGGGTTAAGTCTCGGTTTAGGGTTCAATTTTTTATCAATGCATGCTGCAGGTCCATATTCATGGTTTTGTGCTATTTATCCTCAACACTTGATTTTTTCTTTTTTTTTTCCGAAAGGTAAAATCTATAATATCAAAACCTCCCATGAATTTTGAAGAAAACTCACTTGATTGGTTACGCTGATTGATTATGAGTTTTTCTGATATCATGTCTTTTCGACATCATAGTCATCCTTTGCAAAAACAATGCATAAAATGCTTGTTACTAGGGGTGTCAATTGGACTGGATTTGGTCTAATCCGATCCAGTCCAGTGTGAGTACCAGGTCCAATCCAATCCAATGAATGTTTTGGACCGGTCCAATTCAATGTCTAGACCATCCAATCTGTTCAAATTCATTTTGATTTAGATTGTTTTCAACCCAAACCCGGTCCATTGACATATATATTTTTATCTTATATCAGTGAACCAGATATTGGCTTAATCCAACCCAATCCAATATAAATTTGATACGGACGGACCAGGTCCAATCCAATCTAATAAATATTTTAGACCGGATTGATCCAATCCAATATATCTTGTTGGTACGTCCAATCTGTCCAAATTGATTTTGGGCTAGACGGGGTCCAATCCAAAATTGGTCCATTGATACCCTTACTTGTTACTTGTGCATCTTGGGCAGATCATACAAACCTATGATGTGCATAGCATTGTTTGTTACTAGCAGATTCAGACTCAATTGTAATGCCCATCTAAATTAAAGAACAGCCCAAAACATTGACTTGTGTGACCCAACTAGTTGAACCATTTTATAATCAGTAGACCACAGCTTGTATATTAATTTTTTCCCTTTTCTTATTTTATCCATTCTTATCATTAATAATAATAACTCTAATTTATCACAATTATTTTTGTTTAATACAACGAATGTATATATCAATTTTAATTTCTACAAAATTATCAAAAAAATCTATATTTTTCTATAATGAGTGTATATGATACCATGGGTTGGCCGTTGACCCATTTGATCGGATTCTTTGATTGGTTTTTAAAACAATGACATAGACTTGTTTCCCAAGAGAGGATGGTTGATTTCATCTGTAGACTTCATGTATGTTATACATGATGGTCATTAGAGGTGCAATATGGGCCGGTTTGAGTTGGGATTTTTGTTGAAATTTGAATGGATTTGGCCCAAAAAGCCCAAGTTTGATGCAGTGTAAATTCTACAAACCAGAAGCCCAAGAGTGAATGGTCCTACCATACTAAGCCATATGGAGACAGAGAAAGAAAAGATGATAACGAAGTGCAGTGGGCTACATGGTCAGCCAAATATGGGAAAGGTGTACATGTGAGCCTGTTCGAGCTACTTTCGAGTTGCCCAAATGCATGGACTATAGAGTGAACCAATGTGGGGAAGCAGTGCATGTGACCTGCCCAAATTGCTTCAATTAGAAAAATAATATGATCCACACGATTCTTTCAGCTCTAAGCCCCTTATTGCAGGTTAATTCGGATTAGCTGAATGTGATGGCAGTTTATGTGCAACCAATGATAACGCCCCACGAGGTCACGACAGTCATAAATGTTAAGTGAGAGATTGAATGATTGTGGGGTGGGGTTCATGTATTTATTACTGGTATGGGGGGTTATTATTGGTTCCACAGCCTGCTTAACAACCATTGCGTTCAGTTAATCCGATCTCATTGCTAATTCACTTTCCTCAAGCTGTGTGATCACGACTAACATGGATGCCTTTGAGTATTTGGCACCCCAAAAGGCTATATGTTGGATATGCAGCCATAGGGGCGTTTGTCGACTTGCCTAAATAAATTGACCTTTTTCACTAAGAACTGTTTGTTTTGCCATCTGAAAATAGTAACAAGGTCATCTAAACTGAGTGGAAAAATGTTCAACGGCATGGGCCCATGGTTGTTTAATGCTTCTTTGTGCAGAAAACAAAATTAAACCAAATAGAATGGTTATTTGTATCTTATTAAGAGGAAAAAAATGGTGTTTTATTTTGATTAAATTTATTCAAAATAGATATTAGGGTCAAAACTGTCATTTTCCATTTAGTAAAACGAAACTTAAGAATAGGTTTTAATAAATCCATGGAGTGTTTTAGTAAATGATCCCTTCATAAAATTTAATTAGACTTGGATCTTAAGCTGATTGGATGTGGTCGTAAATGGATCATTTGAATTAGGGATGCAAACGGTATCCATTTGTTTGAATTCAAATTCGAATTTGACCCAATTAAGGTTGGTCCAAATTCAACCTGTTATAATTATAATTAGATCAAACATGAATCCACCCCAATCTAATTCAATAAAATCCAATTTGATTCAATTTAAATATATTTTCTCAGATAGACAAATTTGATTCAATTTAAATATATTTTCTCATATAGACTTAATTTATATTGTATTTATTTGTAAAGTTGGTTGAAATATTGTATTTTTACTAAATTTTAATAGATTCAAGTTTCATACATGTTATGTTTATTCATTTTGTTCACAAAATACAATATCAAAGTCAATTTTATTTATTTCATTCACAATATATGATGTTTTGATCATTTTCGGTTTAATTTATTAATACTATTCATATCCAATTGCAATTCAAATTTGATTCCAATCCGATGTAAAAAAATTTCGAATATAAATGAATCAAATATATATTCGATTCGATTTGATCCGTTTAACCCTAATCCGGATCCAAAATAATCATTGAGTGTTGGACTTTGGACTCTACGGAGTCCATCTGGGCCTTAATGGGCACTGGCGGGACAAAATAACTGGACCACAGCCTACGGGCCCCAAACGCATACGTATATAGCATAGGCGAACCTGGGAAGGGAAGCTCCAGACGATAGAAACGGCAGTCAGTCGAGCGGGGAGGGAGGTAATGGAAGTCAAAGGAGGGCGAAATAAATCAGTCGATGACTTCTTCTTCTTCGCACTGAAGCAATTAACGACAACGAAAACTGAACAGAAAACCCCAAACCAGAAGCACTCTTCTTCTTGTTCGCATTATTATCAATAATCTCTGGTTGGATGGTTATGCATGTAAAGATTGCAGTTTTCATTACTTAGATCGGAAATGGTGCAATGTTTTCGATTTGGTTACTTTGCTGAAAGGATCTCTTTCCGTCTGGATAGTTGTTCTTCGTACCGATGGGTTTTAGGTCTGTTGTTCTTAATGATGGATGGTGGAGTTAGAATTTTGTTCAATTCAGTTATCCTTTTTCTTTAAATTCGTTTTTATGTTTCTCTTGATCAATTTATTCGATTGCCCAACATTATCTGGTTTTATAAGCTTTTGTTTGTTCTTTTCTTAGAGAATTGAATATTTTTCGTTCCATAAATGAGGGTGACGGTGTAGGAGTAGGGCTAAATTTGTAGCAGAAGTGGAATACTCGGACACTCGTTTTGTTCTAAGGTTATCACGTCACAGCATTGTGGTGCTCCACTGGTAGTTCTATTTTACAAGAAATGCCGACTATTTAAGGGGAAGCGCGTGTCTCTGGCAGACCAAAAGTACTGTGTGACACGACACCACTACCTACATATTGGAATTACATGGCGCTCGCGGCATGACGTTTCCGTAATGGGAACCATTCAATCTATACTTGGATACCTAAGAGATCGTCTCGGTGAAAATTTTGGATTGTTAACCACCAAATAAACTTATGTTGCATTGTCTGCTTCCTTCTTACTTTTCATTTTTTTTTCCTAAAAAATAAAAAGGAAATGATGATGATTACAGTCATCAGATTAAGTTGATATTTGAGCTGCGGTTTTTATGGTTATGAAGTGAAGACATCAAGTTCCTCTCTATATGTTTTTACATTGTTTGTTATGGCTATGTTATGATAAATAGGTTAATATTGGCAGTTGATTTTACAGTGAAGAAAATAATTGGACCCATTTGACATTGGCAGCGTTTGTCCCACTTCTATTTCTTTTTCTTATTGGGGGATACGTTGGGAGGCCTTTTTATCCATTTCCGATCAAGAGCAAGGTAGCCGATGGCAATAGACAGCCCCTACAAACGTTTCGACCTTATAATGTTGCACATCGAGGTTCAAATGGGGAGCTTCCCGAAGAAACTGCAGCTGCATACATGGTACATGCAAGCATATTGCTGATTTGATTCATATAGTTGACACACTGAGTAGGTGCACCTTCTCCTTTCATGTTTGGTTTTGTTCCATGTTTGATTTCAAAGTCCATGCAAATGAATCATGAAACAAAGGTTTCAAGATACGTAATGGTCATCCTAATGTCAGCTTGAGCTGGTACAGATTACGTATACAATCGAGTAAAGTGTAATATTGCTAGGTATAACATATGTGGTTGGCTCATTAAACAAGCTATTATGATGTATTTGCATTTTTTTTTTAATTTGGCAAGATACATGTTTATCTTTTGTCAAGCTTCTTTGTAAGCTTGAGTTTGTTCCTTTTTTACAGGAAATTTGGCTTTTCCGTCCATGTTACAATAGGATAGAGAACTATTCCTATTATTATCTATGTTCTTTCACTTGATAAATCTCATATTTTCCCTGTTGGAGAGAGTGGGATCCAAACTTTTGGTTTGTTCTTTCAGAGAGCTATTGAAGAAGGTGCTGACTTCATAGAAACAGATATCCTTGCCTCTAAAGATGGTGCCCTTATATGCTTTCATGATGTCACCCTTGATGATACAACTGATATTGCGGACCATAAGGAGTTTGCATATCGTAAAAGGACTTATGAAGTCCAAGGGGTTAATGTCACTGGTTGGTTCACTGGTATGCAGGAAAATGCAACTCTCAACCACCTTTAACTTCATGTATGGGATTACCATTTCTCCATCTTTATAATGCTGAAGATAAAAGCTAATATTACTGATGTTGTTGGACAGTGTAGGTGTCAGATGTGTTTAATTGTGTAAACTGCAAATAAGGACTTGCTATTACTTGCTTTTGAAAGTATTATTACTATTAACTACTCTGCTGTCCATTACATTCTTTGGAACAGAAAGGGTGGGGGTCAGGAGGGGATTGGAAGTTAACAGCACCACTGAATGTGTAGTTAATTGGATAAACTGAATAATGTTTTGATCATGTGCAGTTGATTTTACACTACAAGAACTAAAGTCTTTAGGGATGAAGCAGCGTTACAAGTTCCGGGATCAACAATACAATGGTAACTTCCTTTCCGAATAAAAACTTATTATCTTTGCTTTGCTTATGTTAGGAGATACATTTTTTTGTATTAATTAAGCATTGCAATGGTTAATGATTTCTGACCATAAATGTCACAAAAAATGGATCTGTATTACCAATATGCAATTTCTATTTTCATTATGCATCTGAAGATGGTTAAAGTTTCTAACTGCAACAGCTTGTGGCTTGAACCTTTTTTTGATTTAAACTAATTCTAAGTTTCTAACTGCATAATGAACTTATTCTTATCCAATAAATTTGTCAATGATCAGGAAAATGTCTCCTTCTGATTACTGCTGTGAAATGCAGTATTATGTGATGGTTGTCAATAATCAATGGGGAAATTATACCACATTCTCTTTTTACCTGGATCAAACTTTTGATTTAGGAGTGGCCATGTTAATACTCAATACAAAAGCTTTAAAGTTTAAACCTCATCAATATCTCCTATCTATTTTTCTTCAATTTTCTTTTGATAAATAATTAAGAGAATTGCATTAGTAAGGAAAGAGAAGATGCAAATTGCAAAATTCACAATAGCAGGGGCTACCTAACATGTTATACTTTCTGAAGGCAGTTTAATCCCACCTTGCTATATATTTCTTCTGACCTCTGATTTAGAAAATTTATCTACCAATTTATCAGCCTCCCTTGGAGAACAACAGAAATACACATCCATTGAAACCACTATAATCTTCATTTCACAAAAGGATGTGAGATTGGCTTCAAGTCCTCTAATTTTTTTTTTTTGTTCTCTCACCTCTTCGATTAGATTTTCCCCTGTGGTTTTGATGACCAATTACATTTGTAATTTTGTATTGTGTCTACAAGAATATGCAGTCACATATCAAAATCAGTCTTCCCTTGGTAAACCATGTCTTTCTTTTTTTCAAGTACAACTAGAGGCTGTACAATTGAGGTACAAAGGTAACACTCAAAGTACAAAACCATTGGGAGATACAAACTTTCAAAGTCAAAAAGAGAACTGTAAAAAGAACTGTCAACTTTAAGCTGAATCGAAGACCAAGAAAACAGCTTCCCCACAATCTTCTGCAACACTTCCTCTTCTTGACAGCTTTTGTTTTGAAATATCCTTGAGTTTCTTTCTTGCCATATCGACCATAACTCAGCACCTGGAATCAGATACCATAGAACTTTTCCTTTCTTGCTTAGACCTTGTACCCTCAAGTTGTTGACAAAATCAGCCATTGCTTCTGGGCAGCAAGAATCCTCACCCATATTTTATGAGTGAAGCTGCAATGCAGTAGCAGGTGGTCAACAGTCTCATCATCACTGTTGCACAGGACACATCTTTTAGAATCAATCACCACACCCCTCCTAACCAAGTTGTCTCTAGTAGGAATCTTATTCAGGTAAGCAGCTCAAATAAAAAAGGAGACCTTTGATGGAATGTGTCTGCACCATATTACATGCACAGGAAATTTCAGATCTTCTTCCCCTTGGGCCAGTTTACCATAGAAAGATTTCACCGAGAACTTGGTAAACCATGTCTTGAGTCAGCAAATGATGTTCCAAGGACAACCATTCTCTATTAGCTATGGTAAATTTATACAGGACTCCTGTAGTTATGCATTTGTCCCAAAATATTTATTGGTCAAGATGCCCTTAGGCATGCAGGATCTTGCATTCAATGGGCACTGATGTGTGTAATTGTTATTGCAAGTCAAATATGTAATTTGGATAGAGCAGCAGCTTAGTGGATAGTGCAGCAAAACAAAATTTGAAATGAGACTTACAGTTAGATGTGCAACTTGCGTGGGCACATGATGAGCATTTGTACACAATATATATTTAACCAACTTGTCCTCCACTCCTTGTTTCTTGGCTGAGTTGTGCTTTATACTTATATTTTAATCCTTGTAATCTATATTCAATGGTTAAGTGCAGTAGCAGTTAGCTTTTTTTTTTGTTTTAATGTATTAACAGGGAAATTCTCAATTATTACCTTTGAAGAGTTCATTTCTATTGCACTAGAAGCGCCAAGAGTTGTAGGCATTTATCCAGAGATAAAAAATCCAATATTTATCAACCAACAAGTAAGTAATTCTTCTTGCAAACAGGTTGTCATGAATAAGATTGTCATGATCTTATGCTTTGGATCCCACGATGATAATGATGATGATGATCATATCAATTTATGAATGATATTTGGCATGCCATTATCGGTGAAATTTTTAGCCATCAGGTTGTCATGATCTTAAAGCTGCTACTTGCAACAGGTTAAATGGGCAGATGGGAGAAAGTTTGAAGACAAGTTCATAGATACGCTTAAGAAGTATGGATACAAAGGTTCATATATGTCAAAGGATTGGCTGAACCAACCAGCATTTATCCAGTCATTTGCTCCTTCTTCACTCATATATATTTCAAACTTGACAGACTTGCCAAAAATCTTCTTAATTGGTGATGTGACAATACCAACACAGGACACAAATCAGGTTGGTTTCCATTTTTTCCCTGTTTAAGGGTTCATAATGGAGTAATCCACCAACATATATCCAGTCCTGTAACAACTAGAGTCGACCTAGTTGATAGATTTATTTGATCACTTGCTATATAACTTTCTTAGTTGAAATTGTCATACATCATGATAATATGTGAAAGCATTTGTAATTAACTTAGGATTGCTTAAGAGACTTGGAATATCTGTGGAAGTTCATAAATGATTGTTAATGCCAATGTATATGGGATTAGGCATTACCAACTGCATTGCTAATAATTTTTAAAACTTCTAATAGAGGTTGTGATAGTCTCATAGGTTCCAACCTGATCAGAGTACTAGGCTTCTAGATTGTACTGCTAGCTGAACTTAATAAAAATAAAAAAAATACTAAGAATACCAGCCAAAAGAATAAGAACAATAGAATTCATATTTATACCCATTTCAGCAATCTAATTGAATTGATTCATCAGTTCTACTGGTCCACTAGTTCAACTTTTCAATCCAGTCTGCTATTTGCCTAATCTGGGATCAAACAAACCATCTGGGAGCCACTTCAGGTATTAAAACAATCATAGTTAGATGTAGTATATATCTTCAAAAAAAGAAACAGTCAGACGTAGCATATGTGTATGTAATGGGTTGGGATCCATCCATGGATGGAAACACCTACCTACTAAAAAAAGTCTCCTAAGGGAGTAGTTTTTATCAGATAATTGTTAAGGTTTCTCTCTTCAAAGATTAATCATTACAGCCACTGTTCCTAAAACTGGATCAAGCATCAAACTGGAAAAGGCTCTGTCATAATTTCACCAGTTCAACTGTGACATCAGCATGTTTCCATAAATAGACTGATAAAAAAMAAAGTAAATAGCAGAACCGGAAACTTGCTAATGGTTCAATTATGGTTTTGAACAAAGTCACCAGTTATATTCAAGGTGGTTCATATTTGGGGACTGGAAAGGATCCCAGTTGGGTTCAACCAGTTGGTCTGATCATATTTTCAAAACAGTTGTTATAGCATAGGAGATTTTATAGATTGAATGACTAAAGTAATCTTATTGGGAGAATTTTGAACCAAGAGATCTCATCTAATTGGTTATAGTCCTCTGTAGTGATCTATGATAGTTTTGCCACAGGTTATCCTTTTACCAGTAATGATAAGAATATTCTTAATGTAAGGCTGTTGAAAATAAAAAGAAAAGTTCTATTGTGCTTCCTCTACAAAGTCTATATATGGTCATACAATGGAAGAACTCTCCTAATAAAAAAGGGAAATATAAACTCATAAGAAAAGAAATTAGGTTCAAAGGAACAAAAAGGGGTAGTCTGCATGATTCATTTGAACAGATATAGGTATTTGCATTGTTCATTCTGAATTTAATTACATCAAGAATTTTGAAGATAGTTATGAAGAAAAAAAACAAGTTAAAGGTGGTGTTTTTTTGTGACTAAAGTTCCTCATCTGGTTCTTGTGTAATTTCCATCTTATAGTAAAATTTTCATTTCTTTGATTATTCCTAAAGGTATGGAATGACCATGGTTGTGTGCAGTCATACTGGGAGATTACTGCAGATGGTTACCTTGAGTTCATAAAGCAGTACGTGGTTGGAATTGGACCCAGTAAAGAAACAATAGTCCCTACATCAAATAATTATTTGTTGACACCTACTGATCTTGTTGTCAAAGCACATGCTCATGACCTACAGGTGTGTATGCTTCCCAGATTCTTTTTTTATAGAACTTAATTAATATTAATATTTAGTCCTTCCTAACATTTTTATCTTCATATATGTTCTAAACAAAAATGTATATTTTTCAACTAACAGATAAGGTGCAACCATTAACTAACATAATAAGGGCTTGTTTACTTGTGAACAATCAAGATTGGTTTATTTGTCCATATGGACACTTTCCAGATTCTTTTTTTATAGAACTTAATTAATATTAATATTTAGTCCTTCCTAACATTTTTATCTTCATATATGTTCCAAACAAAAATGTATATTTTTCAACTAACAGATAAGGTGCAACCATTAACTAACATAATGAGGGCTTGTCTACTTGTGAACAATCAAGATTGGTTTATTTGTCCATATGGACACTTTGCAGGTGATGAATTAGTTCATCAATCTAGACAGTCTAAATCTTTGGATCAGCCCTTGAATAAACCACAGGTCAAAGGTCTTCTACTCGTCTCTTTGTAACCCAACCATGAAAGGAAAAACAAAAAATGATAGTGGCAAAGATCCACAATCACTATAGCATGCCAGGAAAAAGAAGAATTTATGTTGTTCATCTGAACCATCCTAATGTTAGCCATCTCCCAGGTTGGCAAGAGCTAARATTCTACTATAATCTAATGATCCTAATAATTGAAATAATAGCTTTGAGAAGGTCCAACTACCAAATTTGAGGTAAATGTTATATTGGGCTTAATTGATTTGATAGGGTTATTTGTAAATTGTACCTTGTTATCTTTGGTCCATGGTTGATGCAGTATCTAGGCAGTTCTTGTTAGAGCTGCCAATGTACCCGAGTATCTGAATCCAAGGCCCTGTTCATTTTTCGGTAAGTTACTTACCCGGGTAAATGCAGTTACCTGGGCAAGTTTTTCCTGGGAAACACTTACCCGGGTAAGTGCATTTACCCATGTTTCTTTTATTTCTCATGTAAATAAGGCAATGACAAATTTAGCCATAAAAATCCATTATTAAAAGGGGCATTTTTGTCCCATTCAAGTGTTGGCAATTTTCCCCCTAAGTGGGAAAGTTATTTACCCACCTAGGAGATGGGTATGGGTAAGTGATACCCAGAAAAATAAACTTTCCCTGGTCCCCACATAAATCTGAAAAAAGAAAATGGGATTCTTGGTCAATGGGAACCTAAATCCCATYGACCAACTTTCCCCCCTCTCAAAATCCAAAAAAAGAACGCCCCCCAAGTTTGAAATTCAATTTGATCAAACAGGATTTGGATCTCAAAAAAAAAAAAAAAATCAGATCTATTTATAATCAGATCATATCTGGATCCCCCCAATCTGATCTGATTAAGATTTGAGTCCGACAATATTAGTATGTATATGCATATGTATATAAAATTAGCATATTTTTATTAATAAGCTGATTTAAATATCACTTTTTCATTAAAGGCTCACAAGTCCAGGTCTCATGGGAGTTATTTTAAATTCTTTTTATTAATGATATATAATATCTAAGCCATTCCTAATTTATCTTAATAATAAAATATAATAATATTCATTCATCAAAAAAATAAAATATAATAATTTTTCATTTGTAGTTTAGTTTTTTTTGGTTAATCATTTTGTAGTTTAGTTTATTAATGATATATAATATCCATATCCAATCTGAGTCAGTGTGATGGACRAAATATGATTTGGGTTTAAACATTTTGGATTTGGAACTAAAATCCCATTGACCAACTTCCCCCCTCTCCAAATCCAAAAAAAGAATGCCCCCTAAATACAATATGTTTGCAGCCCTAGTTTTTGTGCACTTGTATCATCATCTTTTGCTAGTTGCATCTTATCCAAAATTGGTGTCTGAAAGAGGTTGTACTAGGTCCTAACAGTGATTGCATTACAGGTGCACCCATACACATACAGGAATGAGGATACGTTCTTACATTTTGACTTTCATCAAGACCCATATGCAGAGTATGATTACTGGATAAATAACGTAGGAGTTGACGGGCTTTTCACAGACTTCACAGGGAGCCTTCATAATTTCCAGGAATGGACTTCCCCCTCTTCTGATGATAGCAAAGCATCCAAACTACTACATAAGATTGCATCAATGATGTCAACTCATGGAAGAGTATGAAAGGAGATTTTAGAAGTTATGTGGATGATAAAATTGCTAGGTTATTTCATAAAAGTGTTTTTTCTTTTTTTCCAATTTCTGGTACTTTCTGTCATTTGATGTTCAGAAAGCAGTTTTTATTCCCTATTTGTGGCTTGAAAAGTAGCCACTATTTTGATATTCTGTTTCCTTTAAATACCACATTCTCAATCATGATTCCTTCTACAATGATCTTTGGTGATATGATAGATGACTGAAACTAGCAAGGCAACAGATCAACAAACTTGTATACAACTGAATGGATTTGTCATAACTAGCAGTATGAACAACTGGGAAATTATCAAAAAACGAGAGCTAATGCTCTCAAGGTGTAGAAGGAATGAAACTTGGACGTGGGAAATATGGATAATATCTACTCTAAATGGTATTTTCCTTTTTCACTCATCTCTTGCACACTGTTTTGTTTTTTCTTTTTTTTGGTATCTGAATGAATAGTCAGGTTAGTCGGTCAGCAGAGGGTTAGTAGGGACACAGATGGGAGAAATGAGAGAACCCCTTCTGTTCTGCAGGGTTGATTATCCTGTGGCTCCATACTAGGAGAGGAGTGGTGCCAAGTGACCTCAACTAGGGGTGTCAATTGGACTGGATTTGGTCCAATCCGATCCAGTCCAATGTGAGTCCATTATAAATGGACCAGGTCCAATCCAATCTAATGAATGTTTTGGACCAATTTGGACCGATCCAATTCAATGTCTAGACCATCCAATCTGTTCAAATTCATTTTGATTTAAATTTGTTTCCACCCAAACCCGGTCCATTGACATATATATTCTTATCTTATATCAATGGACCAGATATTGGCTTAATCCAACTCAATCGAATATAAATTTATTACAGATGAACTAGGTCCAATTCAATCTAATAAATATTTTTAGACCGAATTGATCAAATCCAATATATCTTATTGGTCCGTCCAATCCATCCAAATTGATCTTGAACTGGATGGGGTCCAATCCAAAACCAATCCATTGAAACCCTTAGCCCCCATTACTCCCCATTTCATAATATCTAAGAATCTTCAGGATATTTAACTGAAATTTCAATTGATATTTTCAGAACAGTTTTTAGAGGTGGTTATTTCATGTTTTGAAATATTCGAAAAGAAATATCTTTGCTTTGGTCCTGAGACCCAAAATGACCAATAAATACTTTGGTTTTTTATCTTATTGTATTATATGGAGGCTTTCCCTCAAGTCAAGTCACTGTAGAGCTCCACACTTCATAATTCCTCAGCAACTATTAAATNTGTCAATTGGACTGGATTTGGTCCAATCCGATCCAGTCCAATGTGAGTCCATTATAAATGGACCAGGTCCAATCCAATCTAATGAATGTTTTGGAGCAATTTGGATTGGTCCGATTCAATGTCTGGACCATCCAATATGTTCAAATTCATTTTGATTTAGATTGGTTTCAACTTTCAACTCAAACCCAGTCCATTGACATATATATTCTTATCTTATATCAATGGACCAGATATTGGCTTAATCCAATCCAATTGAATATAAATTTGTTACGGATGGACCAGGTCCAATCCAATCTAATAAATATTTTGGACCAGATTGCTCCAATCCAATATGTCTTGTTGGTCCGTCAAATCCATCCAAATTGATTTGGGACTGGACGGGGTCCAATCCAAAACCGGTCCATTAATACCCTCAACCTCAACTACCAGGGATCATCAGCAACATGAACCGCTCCGAGAACTTGAACCCCCACCCCCTGCCAATTCATCCTTTGATCTTAACTCAAGTTGTATGTATGGACCTAGGCCTAGCCCAAGTTTTTTCTTTCCTTTTTTTTTTTTTTTTTTGAATCAATAGATGAAAAACATTGACAACTACCAACCCAGAGCAGAGACAAGGATTAGAATTTAGAAACTCCATGCAAATCCACAGACGAACAGTAACTGCATGCGGGGATTGTTCAAAAATTTCATTCTATTGCTCTATTATGCCTAAACTTGTTAAGTTATCCGTATGGCTATTGGCCTCCCTGTTCAATGTTCGAGCTCCACATGTGGTAGTTTGTGCAGAAATTCTGGATTATCGTCGAATAGAAGCGGTATCGAGTATCAACTTCTGAGAATGGGGATGATCGATTCCGGTATGACGTTATGATCGTCTAGTTCCTCTACAGATCATAATGCTTACTTATCTTTTTGTATTCCTTGATGTGTAAATGTATATGACAGTTGCCTCAAGAACAAGATTCAAGAAACAACAGCTGGTCATCGAGCCATGTGTGCAAAATTAGTTACCATGTAATCTATAAATATTCGATCATTATTTAAATTAATGAAACAGACTTCCCATTTATTTCAAGAACTCTGTATTGGCTTTCATGGTACTAAGAGTGGTGATCCGACGCTGCGAAGAAAAATCACCATGTCGTCGGATTTTGGAAGCAACTCGCTGTTTTTCCTTCATGCATCCGATAGCCCAGGAGCCATGCTTGTTTCAACACCTCTTACCGAAGGCAACTTTCCGATGTGGCAGCAGGCAACGAAAAATGATCTCCGTGCCAAAAGTAAGTTTGTGTTTGTGGATGGATCGCTGCCAAAACCACCCGAATCGGCACCTAATGAAAGTGTCTGGATAAAATGTAATTCAATGGTAGTTGTATGGATCTTCAATGCCCTGTCAAAGAAATTGTAGACAGTATGGCGTTCATTGGCTGTGCAGCTGAAATATGGAAAGAATTGGAAGAAAGGTGAGCGTACCTGTGGAGCAACAAAAGGCTTTCATGGCCAAAAGAGAGAATGAAAAGCTCCATCAGTTTCTAATGGGATTAAATGATCATACAATCAAATATCCTCAATTCAGATCCTTTGCCAACAATCAATAAAGCGTACTTGTTGCTTGTGCAAGAAGAGTGTCATCAACAGATTGTCTCTGTTCGACCACTACAACCCGAAGCAGCAGCTTTCAATGCAGGATTCAACAAACCTTCTGAATCTTCAAATAGTTCTGGATCTCGTCCACGCTATAAGTGTGACTATTGCAAGAAATCTGGTCACACTCGTGATCGATGCTACGAGTTAAATGGCTTCCCTGCTAACTGGGACAAGAATCGTCGAAAGACTGACAAATCATCTCCAAGATCGGATAAGCCTACTTCCTATGCTGCCTCTGTTCAGGCTCATTCCAAAATTGATGCATCATCACCGGTTGTTGGTTTCAATATGCAACAATATTCTATTGCCGCCWCATTCTCCCTATGGATACAACTCCCATTGAATGGATTATTGACAGTGATGCCACTATCATATGATTTCTACCACTTCCCTCTTTTCTGAACATCAACATATCTACCTACAACAAAACCCAATTGTTTACCTAATGGAAGTATATCCCCAGCAATTCATTGCGCCATTATAACTATTGGCAACTATACACTTGACCATRTTTTGCACATCCCATCACTTTCCTACATTGTATGTCCTCTAGGACCCTCACTCCAAGACAGTGATTGGCACGGGTGAGTTCCATGGAGGACTCTACCATCTCCAATTCCAACCTGCATCTTACCTCTCAGGTTTTTTCCTACATAGTCTCCTAAGCTAATACTTTGCTCTTTGGCATATGTGTCTAGGACACTCCATCCGTCACTGCCTCTCCCACATTCCCAGAATTTCTATTATTGTGCCTTTACATTGTTGCGATGCTTGTCACTGAGCCAAGATAACACAGTTACCCTTTCCAATTAGTAATTCTCCATTTTCTTTGATTCACTGTGACATTTAGGGTGGGTATAAGACCCCCTAAGATTTTGGTGCACACTACTTTTTAACCATTGTAGATTATCACACCTGTTGCACTTGGGTCTATCTCAWGAAAAATAAGTCAGAGTCAGGTTTTTTGCTTATAGCTTTCTGTTATATTGTGCGTTGCCAATATAATTGTCATGTACAACAAGTCCGATTGGACAATGGGTTTGAATTTACCGTAACAGAATGGCATTTGCTTGAGGTAACACGTGCTTTGAGGTTTCAGGCATCCCTTCCTCTTTCTCTCAACTGCCAACCTTCATATGACAACATGCAAGTCTTTGGTTGCCTTTGTTACTCACAAATACATCCTCTACCTTCAGACAAATTTGTTGCCCATGCCACAAAATGTGTTTCTGTAGGGTATCCACATGCCCTATGATCTTGATAAACACTGCATATTCACTTTCCGTGATGTCATATTCTACGAAAACTGTTTTCCATTCAAAACAACTGAACATGAACAGAATATAACTCAAGTATTGCCAATTATGTCATCTAATGAAGTTGTTGATTATCCTGGGGGAATCTAGTGAACCTATGCCAAGCCCTTCTCAGCTTGCATCTGATGAGTCTATTTCCATTGAGYCCACCATTACCAATAACCTGAATCCATTTTCACAAACCACTCACACTCACACCATTGGCACCTCCACCATTTCCACCAACCTAACCCTTTCTACTACTCGACCTCATCGAACTACCATCCTACTGGCATGGCTTAATGATTATGTGTGTAATCTCCCACCATCCATATCTAGATCCAATGCTACATCCCTTGAGATTGAACCAACCACTTATCATCAAGCAGCTCATGATTCTAGATGGTGCCAAGCCATGGCAGCTGAAATTGAAGCATTAGAAAAGAATGATACTTAAACCATTGTYGATTTGCCGCCTGGCAAGTGTGCTATTGGCAGTAAATGGGTATATTATATCTAGTACAAARCTGATGGAACCATTGAGTGGTCCAAAGCTCARCTTGTTGCAAAAGGCTATACACAAGTTGGTCTTGACTACCATGACATCTTTGCTCCAGTAGCAAAATTATCCATTGTTTGTTGTCTTCTTGTCGTGGCAACAGTTCGCGGTTGGGCCCTTCATCAACTAGACATAAATAGTGCATTCCTACATAGTGATTTTAATGAGGAAGTCTACATGTCCATTCCTCGAGGCTTTGTTAGAGAAGGCAATAGAAGAGTTTGTAGACTTCAGAAGTCTCTTTATGGCTTAAAACAAACATTCTGTGTGTGGTTTGCAAAATTCACACATGCCCTCACCTCCATTGGTTTTACACAATCAGCCGTAGATTACTCMCTTTTTACCATCTCAAATGATGCTTCTTACATGGTTGTTTTAGTCTACATTGATGATGTTATCATTATTAGCAATGACACAGAGAGAATAACCTCACTTAAAACCTACATCAATGAAAAGTTTGGCATCAAAGATCTTTCTTTTTGGGATTTGAAGTTTCACGCACCCAAGATGGGATATACCTCAATCAACAAAAATACATTATGGATCTTCTTTGTGATACAAACATGTTGGACTGCACTCCATGCACTACACCTATGGAACAACAAAGACATTTTGTTGATCCAAATAGTCTTAGTGGGCTGCTTGGTGTATTTGACTGTCATGCGCCTTGATCTCAGCTTTGTGGTCAATTGCCTTAGTCAATTCATGCATGAGCCCCATCATGAACATTTTGATGCTACTCTTAGAATTGTTTGGTACCTAAAACTCGAAGGCATGATTTCTCGAGGACTCTTTTTTTTTCTGCTCAATCATCTCTCCAACTTATGCTTATTGTGATTTAGATTGGGTCAGTTGCCCAATAACAAGACGCTCTACCACTAATTATCTTATGCTCCTTGGCTACTATCTTGAAAAACTAAGAAACAACACAATCTCTGCTGAATATCGCGCCATGGCAGCAGTATCTTTACCAGCTCCTATGCATCTATTCTATGGCAATAAAGCAGCGTTACATATTGCAGGAAATCCGGTGTTCCACAAAATCCCCACCTCCCACATATGCAYATCAGCTACATCTGTTTTGTTCGTGAGCTGTGAGCACATCCAACGTGGCAAAATCCTCACCTCCCACATATCTGGCGCCATTCAACGTGTGGATATCTTCACTAAAGTTGTTGGCCATGGCCGCTTTACTTCATTACTTCCCAAGTTAAGCCTTGGAGAGGCTCCAACTTCCAATATATGACAGTTGCCTCAAGAACAAGATTCAAGAGAACAGCTGGTCATCAAGCCACGTGTGCAAAATTAGTTACCCTGTAATCTATAAATATTCCATCATCTAAATTAATGAAACAGACTTACCATTTTATTTCAAGAACTCTGTATTGGCTTTCAGAATGGAATCTTTCAGGCCCTCTCGAATAACCCTCGCCAAGCTCATGCTGTGTGAATATATTACGTCCCAACCAACCCAACACCTGATGAAGCTTATGTTACGTGGTAACCCAAACAAGAAAAGAAAAAGAGAGGTTGAGCTATTAATAACAGACCAACAACAACGCTTTTCATTTCTCGCGTCGTTTTCTGGGGAAGAATGTTAAYAACTGACGGATATCATTAATGACGATACCAACCTGCACACCCTGATATCAATAAAGAATTTCAAATGTTTACTTGCAAAGAACATTCCATGCTCACAGCCTGCTCTTGTGCAACCCGCAGTTCCACTTCCACGCTCCACCACATGACAAACATATAGATTAATTACACGTTCTATCCATCTTCCAATCCTGCAAGTTCCTGGGACTTCAACTTGCAAGAAAACCAAATCCCATGGTTGAGACTGGAATGGGGCAAACAATTACCAAAACTAATTCCTTGCAAGTACTTTTGTATTCTTCAGTTTTATTTTACTGCTAAAACGAACTGGCATACATGTTTTGAACTAAATCTAGAAGATTGGTCTAGTAAGAGGACAGATAGCTGCTGCATTCTTCTGCAGATTCATCTATAAAWMTCCCTTTCAGAGGAGAGCTATGAAAATGGTGATGGAAATATATTACAAATAAAATAAATACAAATCAGAACCGAATCTGATGGATGCCCATAATTGGGACCGAGTGCAATTGCACAAATTACAACTCTTCACCTTTAAAATGTGTCAAAGGAATGTCAATGAGCTGGCGGCAGGTTGGCAGCCTGTTTACTTACCTATGGAGGAGGTTGAAGTTGTTTCAGCCGCTGAACAACTTGCTTCATCGTAGGCCTGTGTGATAGAGATTCATCAGTACACCTAACAGCCAAGTGCAATGTTGCTACCAAATTGTCATGGGGGCCTGACTCCCATAGCGCTGCAGTGAAGAACTCCTTGGCCCTACCCTGTGGCAGAAGCATGCGTGCCCAGGCAACAATATTGAAACCATTCCCGTAAGAAGAAAATGATGGGTCCAACACTTTCTTATCTGAGATCAGTTCCATAAGCACCACACCGTAGCTGTATACATCGGCCTTGTCAGAAACACGGCAAGTCATTGCATATTCAGGGGCAACATACCCAAATGTTCCTGCTACACCAGTAGTGGCATGCGTTTCAGAAGTTCCCAAAAGCCTGGCCAACCCAAAGTCAGATAGACAGGCATTGAATTCGTTGTCCAACAAGATATTGCTAGGCTTAACATCTCGGTGGAGGACCCTTGGAACACACTGATCATGTAGATATGCAAGTGCACAGGCTACGTCTAAAGCAATCTTGTGAAGTATCCTCCAATCAACAGCCCTGTTAGACCTTTCCTGGATAAATTTTTCCAAATTACCACCAGGTAAATAATTGTATATGAGGAACATCTCTGACTCACTCGCATGATAACCTATCAAAGTCACAAGATTCTGATGGCGCATCCTTCCTAGAGTCTTGATCTCTGCATGGAACTGTTGAACACCTTGGAACCGTCCAACCGAGAGCCTCTTTATGGCCACTAGAACTCCAGGAGAGATCTCAGCCCTGTAAGTGGCCCCAAAACCTCCATTCCCTATGCAGTTGCTTGCATTGAAACAACCTGTGG